GGCCATCGAGTCCAACCCCCTGCCAAGCAGGAAACACCATCAGAGCACTCCTGACATATGGTTGTCAAGCCTCTGCTTAGAGACCTCCAAAGAAGGAGACTCCACCACACTCCTTGGCAGCAAATTCCACTGTCAAACAGCTCTTACTGTCAGGAAGTTCTTCCTAATGTTTAGGTGGAATCTTCTTTCTTGTAGTTTGGATCCATTGCTCCGTGTCCGCTTCTCTGGAGCAGCAGAGAACAACCTTTCTCCCTCCTCTATATGACATCCTTTTATATATTTGAACATGGCTATCATATCACCCCTTAACCTCCTCTTCTCCAGGCTAAACATGCCCAGCTCCCTTAGCCGTTCCTCATAAGGCATCGTTTCCAGGCCTTTGACCCCCTGCATCCAGTCCCACCCCCTGCAATGCATTTCAGGGGGTAAGACTATATGTGCCTCGTAGGCCCTTCCAACTCTATAATTCTATGATTCTTCGATTCAAAGCAATTCCCATGTGGGCATCCACTGCAGGGGAAATTAGGGAATCCTCTCCTTCCAGATGAACCATAACCCCCCTCCCTCAAATTCCCAGTTTCCTTCCGTCCCATTTCCAGCAAAATGTGCAGGCACCGTTCTTCTCTTTTGGTGTGTGAGAGAGAAATGAATCTGCTCCCCTCTTTACAGTGTTGCATGTTGCTCCTGCCTCTGGAGGAATTCCTCCCGTAGCTTCCTAATAAGCTCCACATTTGCTTGGCTTCGGAAATGCCTCCGTTTCTGGTGCCTCCATCTCTCGAAGGTGAGAACTCTGCTGGATCTGGGCAAGGAAGGTCCATCAGGACGGACTCCCAGCTCCCATCAGTCCCATCACACAACATCAATAGTTGTGGGATGATGGGAATGGTCTTCCAGCAACTTCCAAGGGACTACAGATGCCCCCTCTCAGGTCTAGTCGAACACCCTGCTTATCACAGCACCCACCCAGATGTTTCCAGATGTTCCTTCAAGCAGGCCATGCGGACATCTGTCCTTCCCTGGTTGCCTGTTCCCCAGCAAGTGACACCTACAGATACACTGCCACTGAATCTGGAGTCTCCATTTAACTATCCTTGTGGCTATTAATAGCTGCTGATAAAACTCCTAGTCTAGTTCTACGGGGTCTGAAAGTGAAGGGTTGAGGACTGACACTGTCAAATTTGGGCATCCCACACCCCCACGTTGTAGAGAAGCGGTTCCCAAAATTGGCTGCTACTGCCTCCTGGGGGGAATTACTGGGGGTGTGTTTGTGCTAAGAGGTGGCAGGGGGCCACTGAAGTGTAAAGTGACTCTCAGACTTTGAAAAGCTGGTGTCCCTGGACCAATTTTGTTGAATTAATTAAACTGGCTTTAATTGGCTTTCGAACAAACGTGCAATTCATGTTTGGAATTTCATGGCGTTCTTACGGGGCACAGGGGATGGGCTTATGGGTGTCTCCACGGACGCTGATTTAAGCGGCGTTGCTTATCTTCTGCTTGTACCCAGAAGTATAAAAATATCAGCCTCTCTCTCCCCAGTTTGTCTACACATACCTGTGCTGGGCTGAGTGATGGAGAGAGTCCGATGGGCATAATTAAGCTCCCGAGTTCGGATTTCTTGTAAATTTCTTGCGGAAGGAGCGATGGAATGCGGCGGGTTACTTTTTCAACCTGAAGTTCCAGTTTCGGAAGTGTTTGCACGGTTAAGCGTCCAGTTTGGGAAAACAGAAAAGCCCGTAAATAAACCAATCAGGGTTAGAGATGACTTGTTAATCCTCCAGCGCCTTACAGACAGCCTTGGGAAAAGTGCTCAGAACCGCCTAGTAATTATAGTGTTGCCTTTACTTCCCCCCCCCCAAGAAAACATTGAATAGCTATCCATCTACAGTATATGGGAAAGGAGTATAGAGTTTAAGTAAACACAGAATCCTCTGGTAGTCTAGCAAGGAATGCTACGCCATGGGGAAGTAAGCTGAAATTCCTCTCTGGTTTATGCTTCTAATGCAGATATATGAGATACACACACATATATACATATATGACCTATTTAGTCTGGTATTGGGGGTTTCATGTCTCCTCCACCCCCATTCTGCTCTGCTCTACTTTTTCTGGAATAACATAAAAGCAAATACTGACTCCTTCCGATCAGTGATTTTCTTTGGGGTTTAATCCCCTATTATTCAGCTTTCGGGTCCCAAGACTCCACACTCCAGTATAGAGTTCCTCGAGCATGTGCAGAGTGCCTTGCCACCTCTGTAAACTAGGCGCAGTCCTACCTTGGTTTTGGAACATCTTAGTTCCCGAATGTTTTGGCTCCCGAATGGAGCAAACCTGGAAGTGACTGTTCCGGTTTGCAAACTGTTTTTGGAAGCCGAACGTCTGACGGGCCTTTCGTGGCTTCTGGTTGGCTGCAGGAGCTTCCTGCAGCCAATCAGAAGCCGCGCTTGGGTTTCCGAACGTTTTGGAAGTCAAACGGACTTTTGGAACGGATTCTGTTCGACTTCCAAGGTATGACTGTGCAACCCTGCTGCGTAAATCGGCAATAAAGGGGAAAGGGGTTGTTGGGCATAGGACCTAAAGGAGCTGCCTTTAAACCAAGCCATAGAATTATTGAATTGGACGGGACCCTGAGAATCATCTAGTAGTCCAACGCCCTGCAATGCAGGAATATGCAGCTGTCCTATACGGGGATCGAACCTGCAACCTTGCCATTCTCAGCACCATACTCTAACCTGCTGAGCTGTTCTGTGAGTCACACTCTTGGTCCATCGAGCTCAGGATTATGAGCAACAGCTGGCAGCTGTTGGGGGTTTTAGACAGGTGCCTTTCGCAGTCCTGTCTGGAGGTGCTGGGAGTTGTTTTTATTTTTATTTTTAATTAAATTTGCATACCTCCCTTCATCCGTAGATCTCAGGGCCACCCACAACATAAATTTCCAGTTGACCCTTTTACCAACTGCAGGCAAAGCAGATCCTCTACTACAGAGACAAATTATTATTATTATTATTATTATTATTATTATTATTATTATTATACAAAACCGTAGAATTGTAGAGTTGAAAAAAACCACGGGGGTCATCTAGTCCAACCCCCCCTGCCATGCAGGAATCTTTTGCCCAACGTGGGGCTCGAACTCGTGAACCTGAGATGCTCGGCCAACTAAACTATCATATGAATACTGGGCACCTGGAAATCTGACATCGTTGCTGGTTTCTTTGTAACTAACCCTGAGATTAATAATCTAATGATTTACCGATTTATTACAATCACTGTTATATTTGTGGACTCTCCTTCCTTGGAGCTTTTTTAAGCAGAGGTTGGATGGCCATCTGTCGTGTGTGATCTAGTTTAGGTTCCTGCAGTGCAGGGGGTTGGACTAGATGACCTGGGGGTGTCCCTTCCAACTCTTAACAATTCTATGACCCTATGATTCATTTATATTCTACAATCCCCCAGACCGGGAGTCCAAGCGCTTTACACAAATTAAAACAACGCGGGTAAAAGGCAGAAGGCTGAAAAAGTATTTTAAATAGGACTTAAACTGTAAAAGGATTAAAGCAATAGAAAAACAGATCTACAGTAGTACCTCAGGTTAAGTACTTAATTCGTTCCGGAGGTCTGTTCTTAACATGAAACTGTTCTTAACCTGAAGCACCACTTTAGGTAATAGGGTTTCCCGCTCTTCCGCACCGCCGGAGCACAATTTCTGTTCTCATCCTGAAGCAAAGTTCTTAACCTGAGGCACTATTTCTGGGTTAGCGGAGTCTGTAACCTGAAGCGTATGTAACCTGAAGCGTATGTAACCTGAGGTACCACTGTATTAAAAGGCTGATAGGAAAAGCAGTGCAGCACTATTTAAAATCCTGTTCCTTTAAAAAAAAAAAAAAAAGGCAGACCCCCCCAAATCTGGCTGGAATAAAACAGTCTCTACCCGCCAGCAAAAGGAGAGCAAGGATGGAGCCAGTCTAGCCTGCCTAGGAAGGAAGTTCCAAAGTCTGGGAGCCACCACTGAGAAGGCCCCGTAAAAAAAATAATAATTGCCTTATACCAGGGCATCTCATTGTCCTGTCTAGCTCATTATTGACTGCAGAGACTGGGTTTCAGGTCGGGACCATTCTTAGCCAGACCTGGAGAATCTGGTAGCAGGACTGAACCTGGGACCTTTCCCACAAAAAACAGGTGCCCTCCCATCGCGGTCGCATCCGCACCGGACATTCAAAGCACTTTTATACCCCTTTAACAGTTGTGGGGGATCCTGGAGGCTGTAGTTTGTTGAGGATCCTGAGAACTGCAGCTCTGTGAGAGGTCAGCACTCTAAGCAAACTACAGCTCCCAGGATCCTTTGCAAGGCGGGGAAAGAAAACCCGTGGCCGTTAAAGGGACGCAGGAGTGCTTTAAAGGCACAGAGTGGGCGTGACCTGAGCTGTGTGGTTGTGTGAATCGAGCCCCAGATCTTTGCCCCTGTGCTGCTGAACCCCAGAGGCAGGCAGGGGCTGTCATTTTTTGCAGCCTTCCCCTTCGCTTTACTGCCTCCCAGTGGCTCATAGCTTCCCCTCTGAGAGATCTGAGAGATGCTTCCAGGTGTGGAAGCATCAGCGGAGAGGCCGTTCCTTGCACACAAGGAGGTTTCGCGCTGTCCTCTTCTGTGCCATCCCCTCTTCCCCAGATGGCGGGTTATAAATGTGGGCAAGCAGAACAGGCAGGGAGCTCCTGTTTTTTGCCCTCGAGCCGCAGCCTTGCCCACCCCCTCCTCTCTTTACCCCCTTCCTCCTGCTGCTGCCCTCCTCTGGGTACCATGCCTCTCTCAGTTCCAGCATCTTGCAAGGCTTTTTAAAGGAGAAAACAGCCAGCTTTGCCGGGTATCCAAGCTAAAAGCACCGGCTGAAATGTGCAGGGTCGCTTTAATTGTTCAATCCCCCCCCCCCTTTCTTCCTATAGACCAGCAGAGGCAGGAGAAAAAAAATGTTGAGATCCAGCAAAGTGCAGAGGCAGGCAGTGTCGTCTAGGGAAGGAGGGAGAGTCCAGGTTCCCGGACTAATCCGCTGTGCCACGGAATGCAAATTTGCAAGGAATAAGCTTCGCGAATCCTCCTGGCACCTTTTGGCTTGGGAAGCCGTTTTCCAAAGACCTCTGTGGACGAGGCATCATCGCTCTGCCTCTGTCTAAACTGGATTTGAGGCTTGCCTTTCTGCAATCTGACGGGTCCGTTCTCTTTTTCCCACCCATCCGCCGCTCTCCAATTGGAATCGAGTTGGTGGGGGGGGGGAGGAGAAGAGATGCCCAGGCTTGATTGATATTAATATTGAAGCCACGGCTGGGACCACGAGCTACTCCCTTGCCTGGCCACCTGGGTGCAAACTGTCACCGGAGGAACAAGTGTTGCTGGCTGGAGCCTTTAAGGGGAAGGAGATCTGCAAAGGGGAGAGAGACCGGTCCTGCATTTTGGCTCTTCAGCATCTCCCTTTAAAGTTGCAGCCTAGGTAAGTTCTTTCTCTCTCTCTCTCTGAGAATAAACACACAATCTCCTGCCTTTGATTTGGGCGCTGCTGTTGCCGGGCGATGCGTCCCCTTCAACAGGTGATTCCGTGAACTCTTAATCCGCCAGCTTTTTAAATATTTAATTGCAGAGAGTAACGCGATACTTTGTTGTTTTTCCTTACGAGCCATTCTGCCTTAATAATGAAACATCTGGGTCGATTCCTATCCGGACGCTGAACGAAAAGGAAATGTATCAGGGTTATTAAAACAAGGTTGCTTGTGTTTGCTGCGTAGGGAAATAAACCAAGGTGTGTGTGTGTCTGTGTGTTCTCAACTAATACATCCTAACAGCACAGATTTTTGCACACTGTTGATCCTGCCCAGGGTGACGTGTAGAATAAAGGGGGGGGAGACCCATCACCATCGATCATGGGATTAATTGATCGGCCAACTGCATGTAAAGTGCCAGTCCAATGCTGAAATCTTTGCTCCTGTGGCTTTGCAGCTGTGCAGCTTGGCTAATTAATCTGCACAGGGTTATGTATGAGATGAATGAAAATTCAGAAGTGCCTAGCCGTTTGGGGTCCCCACCTCCCCGGAAAGGTACGACTTGTGTTTTGATGGACAAGAATCTGAAGATTCTGCCTTACCTGGATTTCCAGCATAGAAATTCAGAGTTCTTTCTCGAGATCTGTGGTGTGGGAGTTTATCTGTTTTTCATCGGGGTGTGTGTGTGTGTGTGTTCACATTTATCTAACCTATGGATGGATTGATGGATAGATTTTGGGTTTCACCCTGGCTGCCACTCCCCAGTTCCCCAGTGGCGTTAAAGTTCCTGTAGTCCCGAGATCTTCCTCCTCACGCTTCTGTCTGTACACAGCTTGCCAGTATTAGGACACAGCTTCTCTGGAAATAATGTCCACCCCTCTCCCAGTTCTATGAAGTACAGTGGGAATACTCACATTGTCTAGTCTCTTATGCTTTTTGCTTATTTAGCTCTCCCACAGCACTGCAACCAGATTGATTCTTTCCCAAATCCCTGCTAATACATCTTCGTTTTGTCGCTTAATAGTTTCCGCTGAGTTGAAATGGCCACAAGTTTGGATCAAGGTGTCTTCTTCTTGTCGTTGTTATTTATCTCCCTTTCTGTATTATTACTTTCTTCTGCCTCACACACATCTAGGGACATGAATTTCTTATCTCAAATGGTTTTGCAACACCATCCTCTCTCTTTTTTTGGGTCCAAAATTCAGTATGTTTTGGATTTGTTGGTGTACCTTTGGCTATTACAGATGAAGATCAACATCTGCCTTGAATTCTGTCGTTAATTTAGTTTTAAGTGGGGATCTTCAGACAACCTGTTGCTGCAGGCACACCTGTGCCCTATCTTAGAATCAGTGTGAAGGTGGGTTTTTTTAAATGTTGTGGCAGGTTCTTGTGCTTTTATTCATTTATTGGGGGTAGGAATTATACACATTTCTTCATCGGGGAAATGAAAAGTGCTCGTTCAACAGGATGGCTTGTAGGACGGCTATACTGTGAATAATCTATATCATCTTGTTACCCCTATGTGATCCTGAGGGGTTTGGAGAACACCATTTCTGCTGTTGCTCATCGTTTAAATGTAGCGTGTTAAATTAGTTACCCCCTTAGGACCTGAATGATCTCGGATCTTACAGTTTTCAGTAGCTTATGTGCAGGCGGAGATCCTACCAGATTGTGGCCCATGCAAAATTTACGTAGCAATTTAAAATCTGCAAGCTGCTGCATCCTCCTTATTTATTCCTAGTCGGCTCATGTTATTATATCCATTTCATGGACAGGGTACTGTGAGGCTAAGACGACCCAACTGAGGAGCCTCTCCCACCCAGATCCTTCCTCCTGAGGATTTTATCCCCTGGGCTTCCACAGCCTAGCCTTTGAGGCAACAGAAGACATGGGATTAGCTCTCTGATTTTATGACGATTGCATAGGATGGTTGTCTAGGATCATAGTGTGAACACCGCGGTGGGAAAAAGTGTTCAGAGGTTGTGTGGCACAGATGATCAGATTTCTTTTTTTTAAAAAAACACACCCCTGTTTGGGAGCATGAAGGCTAGAGCCTTTTAAGAAACAAAACGGCAGAACACACAAAGCTGAGATAGCTAAGAATCTCAGGTGTTCCTCCTAGGACAATGCAACTTGCCAGGTACTTTTCAAAGCGTGGCTTTTGAGTTTTTATGTAGCAGAGCCTGTGGCTCTGAGGATGTTGCTAGAATCTTATTATCGAATAGGACTTTATTCGATATACGTCGTTCCATTTTAAAGTTTTTGTATTGGATCTGATTATTATAAGGCATGCGTTCTTCGTTGTATATTTTGTAGCTGTGTATTGCCTTGGGCATAGTAATAAATGAAATTCAAATGAAAAGTGAGATGAAACGTTTAATTCCCACGAACTCCACCTAGCCTAGCCCACTGGTCAGTGATGATGGCAGCTGCACATTCAGGGCGGCAGAGACACCCTCCCTGATAGGAATAATTATACTTCAGATCAGAATGCATTTAGGGATTCATCCAGTCTTGCATTCTGTCCTCCACAAAGGCCAACCAGGTGGTTTGCTGCCTTGTTCCCCTTCAGAAACCATGGACCTGCTTTTCTGAGTTTCCATGAGTAGACTTGACACCCGGCAAAACACCCTTTAAAAGCGGGAAAAGGAGACCAGTGCGTCCCCCTGGCCTTGACATTCGCCTGTCCCGTTAGTCTTGTCCCTGTCCCTTCCCGATCAAACTCGCAGTTGTGAAAACTCACTATTGTCTGCTGCCAAAAAGAGGAGCAGTTGGCATGGTGGGTTTTCTCTGTGTCCCTGTAGTTCCTTCCTCCAGAGTTGTTGTTTTTTGGGGGCGGAAAACTAGCCGGCCTTTGCTTCTTGGTGACACCTGTAAGGGAACGCCGGCCAAGATGGGGAGGATGGGAGAGGAGAGAGCGAAATAAAAAAATTAAAAACAAGCGTAGCTGCTTCCTGGTTGCTTTCGACAGCTGCCCAGTCCGCTCGGTGGCGGGGAGACGTTTCCCCCCCTTTGGACTTTTCTCAGGGAGGCAGACTTGCTATGAAAAAGAGCCCCGGATCGCGGACACCTTTGCCTGGGCTCGCTTGGTTGTTGTTGTTGTTGTGGCTTTTGTCCCTAGCGTTGGCTGGAGCCGAGCAGCCGGTTTCAGCAGCAGCCTGTTTTCACTCCAGACACATGGTGTGGGTGGGTGGATGTTTTTGCCTGCGAAGCCCCCAGCCGCTGGAGAATCCCCTCCCGTTTCTGCCGGTGGGGGATGAGATTGATTTTCCATTTTGCATCATTATACGCGTTTCTGCGCTCTCTGCCTTTAAAAATTCGTTCTGCAGGCGCTGTGTTCTGTGCACAGCCTCCCAGTGTATGTATGTGTGTGTGTGCTTGTGTGTTTGAGAGAGAGATCCGTCCTAGGCTCCTATTACAGAGGGGAAACTGAGGCTGAGATGGGGCGGTGGTGCATTGCTGTAGGTGTGTGGCAGGAAGACTTGAACTCGAGTCGAACTCTATAGGGAGCGGGTGAAGGCTGCCATCCTAGGAACGCGAAATTGGCAGGTCAGGCCAATTGTGTGCCGTTTTTTTGAGCGGTTTGATAGCTTTGCAGCTTTGTGAGGAATATCTGTCATCCGGCTTAGTACTGTCTGCACTGACTGGCAGCTGCTCTTCAGAATTTCAAATGGGGGATTTCTCCCAGCCTTGCCTGGGGATCGAGCGTGAGACCTTTTCTGCCAGATGCTCTGCCCGTGAACTATGCCTTCGTTCAGAGCCAAATGCTCCCCTACCTAAACTGAGCCTAGAAGCGCTGGTTTTCCTCTTCCTGGCTCACCCCTGGAAGAGTAACAAAACCAATTTTGCCTCACATCATGTGCAGAGTGTTTCCCCGTCTTTACTGAACAACTCCAGCTTTGACCATGTTGGTGTTCCCTGTCGCAGAATGTGACCCCCCCCCAGTCAATGGAAAAGAAGGGGGGGGACAATAAGGCTTCTGTTTCCTTCTCCCCTCAAACCTTCTTGCAAGGAATTGATCTCTGGTTTTACTTTCTTGGGCTCCATGATCACTGCAGATGGTGACAACAGTCACGAAATTAAAAGACGCCTGCTTCTTGGGAGAAAAGCAATGACAGGCCTAGGCAGCATCTTAAAAAGCCGAGACAACACCTTGCCAACAAAGGCCTGTCTAGTTAAAGCTATGGTTTTCCCAGTACAGTGGTACCTCGGGTTAAGTACTTACATCGTTCCGGAGGTCCGTTCTTAACCTGAAACTGTTCTTAACCTGAAGCACCACTTTAGCTAATTGGGCCTCCTGCTGCTGCTGCGTCGCCAGAGCACGATTTCTGTTCTCATCCTGAAGCAAAGTTCTTAACCCGAGGTACTATTTCTGGGTTAGCGGAGTCTGTAACCTGAAGCGTATGTAACCCGAGGTACCACTGTACAAGGAAGGACTAAACAGCTCAGGACCACAATACCTCAAGGATCGCCTCTTTCCGTATGAACCTACCCAGACCCTGAGATCATCTTCTGAGGCCCTTCTTCGTCTGCCTCCTTCTCAAGAGATCAGGAGGATCTCTGAAGCATATGTAACCTGAAGCATATGTAACCCGAGGTACCACTGTAGTTATGTATGGAACTGAGAGCTGGACCATAAAGAAGGCTGATCGCCGAAGAATTGATGCTTTTGAATTATGGTACTGAAGGAGACTCTTGAGAGTCCCATGGATTGCAAGAAGATCCAACCTCTCCATTCTGAAGGAAATCAGCCCTGAGTGCTCACTGGAAGGACAGATCCTGAAGCTGAGGCTCCAAGACTTTGGCCACCTCATGAGAAGAGAAGACTCCCTGGGAAAGACCCTGATGTTGGGAAAGATGGAGGGCACAAGGAGAAGGGGGCGACAGAGGACGAGATGGTGGGACAGTGTTCTCGAAGCTACCAGCATGAGTTTGACCAATCTGCGGGAGGCAG